TGGGCTACAACTATACTACTAATATAGCTGCAATACTGCCTGCATGGTTATGCAAATCAACTTTAATTGGTGACTTGGATAGTGATGTAATGTGTTTGGTGTTGGAGGTATTGCAATTTAAAGTAAAAATAAAATTAAATGACTGTGAATAATGTAAGTAAAAAAATAAATACCTATGTACATAAAGATAATATATAAAGTATTTCAACTAGGTATCTCTCTTATTTTTTTATACATCATTACATACTACTACATGTATACTTTAAAATAAATAAATAATTTTGAGTTAGAAACACACCCACTCTTATATAATGAAAGGCGTGTGCAGCTAAACTGTATTTTTGCTATTTCTCAAATATCTATCAATACAACAAACTATAATTTACTTGCATAATGAATATGCCTATACCTAAGGAGTATATATTGTTACGAGCTTGGGGTTCGAAACAATTAAAACTGCCGATTGAATTACCAAAATTGACACTTTAATTATACAACACTAATTACAATCAAAAACCATACTAATAATAAAACACAATCACTTAAGTTCGCAGTTGTTTCGCTTCGAAGTATTCTCTTGTATCGCCAATTCAATACTGCCCCGGTCGTGGTCTATACCGGCCTTATATAGGGCCTCAGATAGTTTCCAGAAGCTTCTACTGTAGCGACATCTAGAATGTTCGAGTACATATCGGTCCCGAAATTTCTGGAAGGATCATGACTCTCCTAGTTCTGCTACTCGACACTAGAGGGCGCTATTGTAACTAGTGTTGCCATGTACAAAACATTAATGGTGGCGCGCAACAGTATGTTGAGGCAGAATGGCTCTATCAAGTTTAAAAAGTCATAAAATGTTGTATACAAATCATCATCATTATCGTCGTCTTTACATTGAGTCCATTGCCGAACAGAAAATAAACTATACTATAAGTAGCGGCACGAAAATCTAGCGGTGACCGTTATTGCGCATAAGTCGCGCATCGCGCGACTCGCGCTGATTGGATCATGCGTATCGTTTGCACGCGCTGGTCTCCAGTCGCATTCGTACAACTATAAACGTGCGCGTCCAATCCACGTTTCGTTCAGCGCTAAACTTACGTGCCGCGATTTGTATTAGTTATTACTCCATAAATCAGTCATGATCTTTTTTGTACATCAATACACTACACTGTTACCGTTACTGTTATAGCCTATCAAAGTACTCAGCTGAACATACATAGACCTCCTCCTTAGATTGCCTCATAGGGGAGATATTTACCATAGTTGCCACGCTTGGCAACCGCAGTTTTAAATTTTTAGTCATAATTAGGAAGACGCTGCTGCCCATCTCCTGATTTGTTTTCCTATGTCGCCTCTTACGACACCCAAATGATATGAGGTAGTCAATATTCTTACATCGCCATTAAACGGTACATCAATACACTACATAATATTGAAACAAAAATATAATGAAATATATACCTGTAGTGACCATGTTAGTTAGGAGTAAATTTATATTCTTAAAATTTTAACCGAGGAGATAATACCTACGTCACCTTGTCATTCAACAACATTACCAATCAAAATAGAAGAGACACCTGTATCTGAATACCCTGTCGGCGCCCTAAAATGTAACTACGAAAGCAGTCTACTACAGCATATTCAACGCGCTTTTAAAATCCAACAAAGTACTAGAGGTAGTACTATAGTTTAGTACTAATTTGTAATAGTGCTGTAGTTATTATATTATATATTATCGTAGATAGTGGCTTGGACGGCAGACGTTCTAACACTATAGGAAAGGGAGTAAAGAAATTGGTCGCTAATCGGAAAAACAGTTTTCCAAACAGACAGCATTACTTACTGGTCAGTAAAGAAAGTATTTTAAAATAATGTTGTTCATAAAATAACATATTTTTTAATATTAAGTTAAACAACATGTAGTAGAGAAGCCAGTGTTTCAGCTAGTACTTACTGGAAATGTGGTGTCGTTTACAAACAGAATAACAGGACCTGTTGATAAATTATCAACAATAATAATGTATGTTTCATTTCATTTGTTTATTGGCGCCCCCTTAAAACATATTTACTTATAGCCTCAACAGTATCAACCAATGCTCTCAAAATAATTCTTTGGTTTGGTTCTCAAAGCAATTTAGTCTCAAATGTTGGCTTTAGGCACTAGATGGGCTGGACATTTAAGATGGACAACAAACATTTATTGATCACGTACCTAAATAATAAAATTAACATCATTTTTCAAGCTTAAAACGCTTTACAAAATTAGGTCTTATAGCTATTTAAACAAAAGTAAATAATTTAAAGGTGCTCCTACTAACTACTACTTCATCATCAGTTCCTTATCGTCAACTGACAGAATGTGTAACGCAAAATATTTAATTTATTTTTTTAATTTAATTTTGAAGCTTCCGTAGCATAATAGCAGGGCGCGGACCGCGAACTCGAAAGGTCGTGGGTTGGAATCCACCATTCGAGTACTGTCGTGAACCACTTCTAACAGAAGCATTTAAGCTTACCAGAAGTGGTTAAAGGGAATATTAGTAATGTTTAACAGCATTACTAGTTATTAATTTAATATCCTAATAACATTATAAATGTGAAAGTTGTTTCGCTTTCACGTAAAAACTATAGGTAGACAACATAACAGAACCGGGAATATACCTCGACCTCATAGATATACCAGCGTGAAGTAGAAGTTTAGTTTGCCTAAGTGCAGGTGGCCGGAGGCTTAACACAACAAGACAAAGGCAACGCCCTCCACGCTATCCGTGAATTTCTGCAACATCAGGAGACTTCATTGGAACCTTATCGCTATCCACTACCATCTGAAGACGGTGAATACGGCCATGTTCTTTCTAACCGAGACGCAGGTGTCCTCCCCGGCTGATACTTAGTATATCTCCTACTCGGCTTAAAAATTGGAACACCACTTTGTGCCTTGGGCTGGAGTCAGAGAAGACACGGGACTACGGGTGCTTCTATAGCTCCCACAGCGGTAATGCCGACACAGACAGACTCATCGACCACGTCCAAATGGCTGCAGACTCATTGCTACAACAGGTCCTATCCGCAAACATCGTGATCCTCGGTGATTTTAACTCCCACCACGCTGAATGGCTTGGTTCTCGTTTAACCGATCATGCGGCATGATCTGTTTATGATTTTGTCTCGGCCTATGGTGATGATGTAGGAGATCATGCACCTTCCCTGTTGGATCTATTGCTGACCTCTCATCCAGACGGATATTATCAGGTTTCTAGGACCATTGTCTGATCCGGAGTATAGTGCTACTCCCGATCCCATCGCGGGTGTATTCTGCAGGTTTCCCCGTATTTGGCACTATAGGTCGGCCGATTGAAACAGGATGCGGTATTTTTTGCATCCTACCCTTGGGGACGGCTTTGCTTCTCGCCGGATGATCCCCATGTCGTTGTTGATTCTGTCGCTGGTGTAGTACTTCAGGGAATCGAACTTTTTATTCCATCATCTGTGGTGTCCATCGGAGGCATATCCCAGCCATGGTTTGGTCGCTTCTGTAAAATTGCATCGTGATAAAGCATGAGTGTTACCGAGTTTGGGTTGACGCATCGATGTCCCGGGATGTAAACATCAGCGCACATAATTCCGCCTCCAGGTCCTTCAAGAGTCATTCACTGCGAAGGAACTCGACGACGGGGATACACGCCGCCGACTATCCCGCGGTATGAGTGCTCCATGCCGGATGTACTTACGGTTTACACACTGCTCAGTGCGGAAAGCACTCCTCTCCCTGAACGTCACAAGTCGATTGGGCTTGATGCAGTCTCTCCCATTGTGCTAAAGACGTGTGCTCGTAGAACGGGACAGTATTTCAAACCGACACACCGCTTATAACTTTACAAGACGCAGCCTCACATGGAATTATGTTCTCATCTCTGGGCCGGGGCTCCACAGAGCCAGATCCTTCCACTTGACTACATCCGGCGAAGAGCGGATTAATCATTGACGACCGAGTTCTTTCTGATCAGCTCGATTCACTGGCGCTGTGAAGAGATGTTGCATCTCTTTGCATTTTCTATCGCATTTACTATGGGGAGTGCTCTGAGAACTTGTTTGGATGCCAAATTTAACCAACGCACCTTGCAACAAAACTCACATTACCATCCACATTATCGAGATTATATTCCTCGTACGGCCTCTTTGTGGAATTGTTTACCACCGGTGACTTTTCCGGACCTATACAACTTAGGCCGGTAACGCACCTGAAATTGCTCTGGTTTTGCATTAGTTACTTAATAGGCGGCGATCGGCACTTACTATCAGGTGAGCCGCATGTTTGTTTCCCCCCTCTTCTTTAAAAAGACAATAAAACGGAGCAGACAATTTTATTTTAACATTGTTATGTTTTGGAGATTTTTATTGCTCTTCTGATAAGAGATAAAATTCATGATGGCTGATATATGTTGTATGTGATTATTTGTTTACATATTCTTATACGTGGTAGAGCCATGCTGCAGCTATATTAGTAGTATAGTTGTAGCGCGAATGGGTCGGCTCGACCGGGGAAGGACCACGCTCTCACAGAATACCAGCGTAAAATGGTAGATTGACACTGCTGTTTCGTATGGTGAGTGTAGAAAACTGGAGACACATTTTACTGGAAAAGAGGCATTCCATCTAAGTACTCACGGGTGACGACGCATCTGCATTTTGATTCTTTATTGAAGATAAATATAGATGTCTATGGGTCACAGCAACCACTTACCATCAGGCGGAATGTGTGCTATTTTGTCACCCTATCCTATAAAAAATACATTATATATCATACATGTGTATATATTTTCCATACATATAAATATAGATATTTGTCGAAAAGCATTATTACACTTCTCAGTCGTACAAAAATAGTGATGAACTCTGGGAGTAAAATAATACGTTTTAATTTAATTTTTTATTTGGTATACTTAATGTCAAGAAGCTTATCCACATGAAGCTCCTTAAAATGTTAATTAAACGATTCTTCACTTATTTGGAACGCTGGTAAGTAAAGACAGTGGTAATTTATCTTCTATTTTTTGAAACTTGTAATTGAACGTTTCATAGAACATTTGTAATATTCTCAAAGTAAATACACTTTCATTCGATGATTCAGATGACTTTAATCTGAAATAGTAATTACGATTATTATTATTGGTGTGATGAAATAAATAATACAAATTCATTTTCAGTGTGTACCACATCGTCTATATAATAAAAATCTACGTCTTCGTGATAAAAATCTTAAGTAGTCTAGAAAACATTTTTATCAGAACAAAATCCGTACAAATCCAAATTTAGATAGAACTCCTCAATCATGGTGGTAATTCCTTTCTAATACCTACTTACTTAAAAATATTCTGTACAAAGACATTTCCTAAAAACATTGCAGAAATAATTGAGTGTCTGATACAACCATTTTTAATATTTTGCATGATGAGAATACTCACGGTGCATAAAAAGCAGCACACGTAGTGTGTTGTCGCGAGTTTATGGACGATTTACTACAGACGAACCTTACACAGGATATTATAGAACATTATGAGCCTGAGTCTAAGTAAGACTCGATACAGTGACACAAAAAAGGCGGCACACTTAAGAAGTTGAGGTGTCCCAGTCGATCGTGAAAACTCATAGTCACAGTTTTTTTTTGGAATCTAGGAGGAAATATTTTGATTGATTACATAGACAAAGGTTACCGCAGAGTACTAAGTTGTAAAAATGAAAAAAGAGCTTCGGGCGATAAAATTTTCAATGAATGACGTGATTTGAAAATTATACATGAAATTGCAATCTTCTAGACACTAAAACGGTTTTAAAGTTTGAACTAAAAGTGTAATGCTGCGTACAGACTTATATGTAACGTAACATGTAATGTAACATGAAATGAAAGAATTTGCCGTCCACATTAGTGGAATGTAACCCACTCTAACAAATTTTCATAGCGTGGACAACATGCGCGCGCGAACCGTGTTTTTCATGAACACGCTACAAGCATTACAAGTCGCGCTCGGAGCGATCCGTGATTTTTCGGTTTTACGAACGAATACAAAGGGGCGCGCAGTGTACTCGGAGCACCAGTGTGGACGAAGTGCGTTGAGAGGCGCGCGAACACGAGCTAAACACGTGCTGAAATCGCATGTCAGTCATTAATTCTGTATTAGCTCTCTGTCTGTACAACTCTATACGCCACCAAAGTCGAGGTCTTCGGCGTTTTTTTAAGACTTCAGACCTCAGAGACACAAAGAGGTCGTCACACTCCATTCTCTTCGCGTGTTTTCAGCAGATTGACGCTTTGTGCGCGCGCACGCCGGGAACACATGCAAGTAGGTACATGTTCGGCTAGTGCGCGCGCTGCGTCCACACTGATGAACTGCTTTCCTATTACATATTATGCCTTTCATATTACATTGCATGTTACGTTGCGTAAGTCTGTACGCAGCATAAGAGGCTTTAAGTTAGAGCGCGAAGGGGATGGAGTGTTGACTACATTACATGTGACCTCTTCAACTTAGTATTAAAGTTCAGTGTGCTTCTCACTATTGGGGGACCGCTATAAGTTTTCACCCACGCCATCACTGATCATTTGGTCTGATCATCATAATGTCTTTGGTTGCATCAAACAAGGGGGTCCACTCACGTCATAAAAAGTCCCTCCTTCTCCATGAATCAGGTGATAGAATTTATTTATCGATTACTGTTGTTCATCCAATTCTTTGGGTATTAGGTAATACTATAATATCCTAACACAACTTATCTCTATTTCTAGCTCCAGGGTGTTTACGTCAGTTCTCAGGGTCCGTGAGTTACAGGTTGCCAGATTGAGTCGTCGAAGGTGGGCAAACCTCCATCGGAGATTCTTAGCACCCACTGCCCGCTGTTTCCATGGTCGCCACGGTAGCCAGGAATAGCGGGGCCGTAAGAGACAAGAGAACGTTTCTTTACGTCAATGCTCATGTTTACCATAATTAAAAAGCTTGACATTCGAGTTGATAACCGCAGTGTTTAATGATATAAATGAAAGCTTGTAGAAACTGTCTATGCGGTCGGAGCTAAGTTCTGTAAGACCCAGCTCTGACGGACCCTACATCTCTCCAATGACATTACTAATCTAATGGCTGTGAGACAGGAAATGAAGCTGCAGTCTTTAATAGATATGACGGCGTACAGGCAGTTGAACACAGGCAGTTGAGGAAAGATCCCCAAATGCATGCGGTGAAATTTATGCAAAATAAATACAGTTTGTATTGTGCAAGGGATTAAGCGGAAGCAAGACTCTAAAGTCTTTGCCTGAAATCTATCTTCCGAAAGGATCTGTTGATCTGATTATGTTGTGATTCAACTGTCGAAGTTGAAGACCAACGGTGCCAGCGTCATTATCGAGATACCTTAGATTTTGAGTGAGAATGAGGGGTTCTACGGACAACTGTACACATCATCGTTCACTATTCCGATGATGATAACCCGGACGTCAGTCTGAGCGAGATGAGAATGAATTTCCCAGTACCTTAAAACTTTCACTGTCTGATTCTCAGACACAATAGTAAAACAATTGCAAAGAATTATATGTAGTGCACGTTACAGCGAAATGATTAAAATGGACAACGCCCGGAGCAAAGATGGAATTACAGCGGAGCTTCAGAAAGCGGGTGAAAAATCGGAATTTAAAGTCGTTCAGAAGCTCCTTCATTCCGTTCTCCATGGTGGCACACCTACAGAGACGTGGAGAAGAAGTGCGGTTTAGCTCGGTAGTTCGGTGCGGGGTTTTTCTTCAAGAATAGCGACAACGCTCTATTAAGGAGCTATAGACTAAGCCTATAACAAAAACCTCAGATTCCGTCAAAATTTGGGCGGTACTTTGTGTAACGTCCATGTCACACCCATGCCGGTAACTGTTAGAAGCACTATGTTCGAAGTTGTTGAGGCCTAGGACAAATTGTCCGACTACGTAAGTCTAAATTCGAACGAGAGGTCAATCTACGGATCCAAATCGACTGGGCAGCACATTCAGGAAATTACGACATAACTTCTCGTCACGTATACCTCAAAACTTGACAACAAAAGTCAACTAGTACGTGATGCCAGTAATGACACAGATCTGAGAAATCCTTTATTGCTGGTCTATGAGGAAGCTTAAGGTTACTCAGCAACCTATGTTGCTAGGCAGTTTCTCTATGCTAGGAGTTCCTCTGTGTGAAAGGCTTCGTTCGTAATGAGGATATCTGCAGTAAAATCAGAGTAACAGACTTACGCAAAGGATCAGTAGCTAATAATGCAATAGTTAGCTTTATGGGTTGTGATGAACTGTAATGATTTATTTATTTATTTATTCACAAATTGCGTTACATGTGACTTAGAGACTAAACAAAACATGCAAGTTCTAACAATCACATGCACCTCGAAAGGCATAGCAATGAACAGGAGAGGGGCAGACACTTAAAAATTCTTTTCCTCCATGTATTCATTAATTGAATAATAACTTTTTTTAATGAGTATAGCTTTTAAAAATCTAATGAATTTATTAATATTTGTTTCGGCTTTTATGTATTCCGGCAATTTATTATAAATTTTTATTGACATCGGGTAAGGACCTGTACTGTGTAATTTTAATTTAGATTTTGGTTGCAAAAGGTTATTCTTATAGCGAGGTACGTTGTGTCGGGGCGCGTCTATGATTTTGATGTAAAAACTTGGGTGTCTTTTTACAAATTTACATATTTCTAATATATATAGGCACGGTAATGTTAGAATTTTGAGACTTTGAAAGTGAGGTTTGCAGCTTTCTCTTTGTTTGATATTTGCAAGTACGCGTATACATTTTTTTTGTAAAATAAAAAGTTCGTGTGATTCTACACTGTTGCCCCACAGTATGACGCCGTAGTTTAGGCACGCTTGAGCGTAGGCTTGATAGGCTGTCACTGCCGTTTTTAAATTTGTAGATTTTTTTAATTCTCTTAAAGCATATATAAATTGTGATAATTTTAACTTATTTTTTTGAATATGTGATTTAAAATTAACATTCGAATCTACATTTATACCCAGCAAAGAAAAATTTTGAACATATTCTAATTTTGTTTGATTATATGTGTAATTTATATCTAGTTCATGTTTTTGTCGTGGTCTGAATTGTATTAATTTAGTTTTTTTGAAATTTACTTCTAAATTATGATCGCTTAGCCATTGTTTTACTTTGTTTATAATTATATCGATTCTTTCATTAAGTTTGGTACTATTAATATAAGGAAACACAACGGAAAAATCGTCGGCAAACATCACACAAAGCTCGTCAATGATTTTGGGGAGGTCATTGATGTAAATAAGGAAAAGGACACATCCGAGTACGGACCCCTGAGGGATAGAGTCCCGCACCGGCTGGGCCCTCGACCTGACACATGTTATGGTTTTTGAATCGTGATCTACATTTTCTATTTCGACGTACTGTGAACGATTGCTGAGAAAAGAAGCAAAACATTTATGAGCTACACCACGGATACCAATGTCATAAAGTTTATTTAAGAGAATGTTGAATGATGATAATGATAACGGTGATAGAAACAATTACTCTACAGTTACAAGTAATTTACAAGATTGTAAGTACTTACTTTATGAGAGTTGTGACTTTCGCGTACTTGCATAGGGTATCAACGAATTCTTCTATACTCTCTATTTTGCCTTGTCGTAACAATGTATAAATGCCCACCAAAAGGGGAAAACCATCAATATTATCGCCTGCCTTTTTACTAATTAAATCTCCTAGAAAAATTAAATGATTTGTGAAATTAGAAGACGGAGTGCACTATTAAAAATATATTGTAAGTTTGTAAGGAAAAAAAGTTATTTGAATACCTGTAGAGTAGCATAAATGAAGTTTAGATAACTGTGAAATAAGAACAATTGCCAAAATGCGGCCCAGATCGGCGTTCCGAAATTCTTGCGCATGTTTTACATAAACCTTTTCAAACGGTTCATTAATTCCACATCGTACTAAGTATTCGTCTAAATCATGAATTAGCGTTAATGGTATCGATGTCACGTCTGATTTTCTCGTTTTTAATTCGTTTATCAAAGCCCTTAAATAACATGCTTCGTTAAAATGTGTATTAAGCTGTTAGAACACCCTAGAATCCCCAGAGTTATGATTAGCGAGCAAAGATACTTATTTACCGTTACCGATACAGTCCATTAAACATTGTTGAACATTGTCATCGCCCATAGATTAATTGCCATAGTAGTCACGCTTCGTCGTTATCAGGAAGACGCTGCTGCCCATCTCCAAATTTGTTTCCCTCTGTCGCCTCTTACGACACCCACAGGATGTTGTAGGGTAGTAGATATTCTTACACCACTACTACTCGAAAGACACATTTAAATAATAAGAACTTGCATTGCAATTACTTCTGCTGCTATCATAAAATATATAATATTATGATGTCCGTGGTTAATATTTACTATAGCTTACAACTAGGATTATACTTCAAAATATATTTATTTTAAAGCGAAGCCTAAAGTATTCTCTGTTAGCTGAGTTTTACAATTATGAATCAGTCAAATAGAACTAACAACGAACACGTAATTACTCACTCATTCATCGTCCTCAAAGAGGCCTCCAAATGTGCTGAATCGAATTTACAACTGGTGTTCAATTGGTAAGAAATATGCTTCCTTAAAAGCTGCAAATTTCCAACAAGAAGTAGCACTTCGGTAATCTGTTGTATTGTTTTCGTACATTTTACAATAACTTGTTCCAATTCTTTTGTATCCATGTTAACATTTGAAATAGTGAATTTTTCTTGACAGTTCCTGAGTACTGTTTGAACATTCTGCAGTTGATTTTTTATCATGAAAGCATAGAGAGTGTCCAATCCATGGAGGCCTACCACACCTATTGCGTCGTTTAATTTAGCAAAAGTTTTTGTGTTAACAATTTCTTTTTGTGTTTTGATATCGAACCACGCACTGCATATGTTTATATAGACGGACAACCTGTAAGAATACGTACAAGTTATTGAAATATTTGCTGATTTATGAATATAGTTCGCAAAAAATATTTTTTACATGGTAGAGCCATGGTGCAGCTATATTAGTAGTATGGTTGTAGCACGAATGGGTGGGCTCGACCGGGGAAGGACCACGCCCTCACAGAATACCAGCGTAAAATGGCAGCTTGACACTGCTGTGTTTCGTATGGTGAGTGTAGAGAACCGGAGACCCATTTTACAGGAAAAGAGACATTCCATCTTAGTCCTCACGGGTGACGGACGCATCTGCACTTTGATTCTTTATTGAGGATAAATTACTAAAATGGGTCACAGCAACCACTTACCATCACTGTGTGCTCATTTGTCACCATATCCCATAAAAAAGTTTTTCTTTTTATAGGATAGGATAATGACCGTTTTACGGTGAGACCGAAATTCGTTGGATATATTACTACCACTCCACTGAATCGAAATTCAACAGTAGAAAATATTATAATACAAAAATCATTATCGCATGATAATTAAATGATAGAAATATATTTTTTTATTTCTGCCGATTTTTTTTTCGAATATTTTTTTTTTACTTTTTCCGCTTGTGTGATATGTGTGAATGAATGAAATACCTGGCATCAATCAATTGCGCAATTTGTCGAGCTAGGCATCCCATAAATCCAGCCGATGGTCCGTACAATGACACACCTTTACGTACACTTATTTCTTTATTCACATTCTCGTTAATGATAGCAGACACCTAAAATAATTAAATAATATGAAATAAATCATTGTGATTAATTCTTATTACTGAGAAAATTCTCATTTAAAACAATAGAAATCAAGCAATTTCCTGTAGCTGTCTTAATTAGATAAGTGTATAAATTATAAAGAACCTGTTTTTGCCATATTCGTAAACCGTGAATGTTTATGTAATCTTGTATATATTCTAATGATCTCTTGTAGCCGTCCATACTCTCAGACAGTTTTTGGAGACGAGAAATTAAATTAACGTGTCTTTTCGCCTGCGGTTCTAAAAGTTCATTAAACTTTTTGCTAATGTGAGTGTCCAACTCCTTCATGAGTCCCTCCTCAAGTAACTCCGCTGGATCAACTCGAATAACACCAACTAATGTTGATCTCATATCTAAAATGCCTTGAATTAAAATAAATTAACATATATTACCCGTGACATGTGAATAGTTGGTAGAGGACAAAAATCCGCCCTAGCATTACGAGTACATACTAAGAGTATACATACATAAGCACAGCTTGCTTATGCGTAGCTCTAAGAGTACATAAAAGTATTATAATCATTTAAAACTTAAATTAACAGTTTCCCTGGCCGCCAAAACAATACAATAATTTAACAATCGAAATGTTTGACTTACGGGACAGTGAAATAGTTAAATATATAATGTTTAAAATCCTTCAAATTAATGTGAATAAAAAAAAACATTCAATTACTATTGAACTTTCCAGAAAATCGATGTAGACAGTATTTATAACATTGTATTAAAATTCTTATCCTATCTTACATCTAGAAGTTGTCTACGATTATTCTGGGTGTCTTTCATTAAAAAAAAATGTTGGTATGAAGGCAAAGCGAATAAAAGCGACAGTAGCCTTGGAGTAAATTCGGTTAGTCGTGGGTTCGAATCCGCCATTCGATTACTATGGTGAACCATTCCACTCCCAGCATTTTAAGCTTAGTCGGAGTGATTACGGAAGTATTAGTATTCAATAAAATAAATAATTTGTACATGGTAATTATACACAAGTGGTAAAATTAAAAATTTTGTACAACCGAAAAAGTACTAGTCAGACTTTGGTAAAATTTATATGGGACCACATGAGATGCACCAGCTTTCAAATAAAAAAGAATCATCAAAATTGGCTCACCTACAAAAAAGTTGTGAGATAACATAAAAAAAATACAGTCGAATTGAGTACGCCCTTCTTTTTGAGGTCTGTTAAAAAGATCACACAATGCAATCGTCTGAAAATGTTCTACTCTTCTCCAAAGAGTTTGCCGTATCGTTAATTCTACTACCCATAAACAGCCAGCAAAAGTTGGGCCCAGCGTTCTTGGATGAATTTTCCCTCATCTGTCATCAGGGTGCACGGCGTGTAGGTGCGGTTGGTTTTTGGATAAAATGGCGACCTAACACTTTATACTTATTTAATAAAAATATGACCTTATAATTAAAAGAATCGAAGACCACTTCGCAGAAATACAGGCCTCTTTTTATAGTTGAGAAAAGATTGCGGGCTTATACAATATGTAACAAAAACCCTGTGGATCCCGTTAAGTACGTTATCAGGATCATTATTCAAACCTATAAAAATAACTTTTGATTGAAATTTTCAGTGCCGCCCTCGTATAAGTTTTGGTTTTATAGGGCGACAAAGCTTAAGGTGACCATATTACCCTCAAGTACCTTATATTACCACCTATCTATTTCATAAAGTATAATGGCAAAAAGTCGTTCCTACTATAATTGTGGCGGGGATGGATGCTTAATAAGCAAATAATAGGTACATATATATAAGTTTTTAAGTTACTGAAGGATAATTAAAGGTGAATTTATTTCATTTTTTGTTAGATAGGTACTTATAGCGAAAAAATAATTAAGTAATAATTTAACTACAGAAGTAATACCTAAGTACTTTATTACAAAACTTAGTTGAAATTTATTTCACTACCTAGTACCTACTTACATACCTTTAGTCGTCTTTGTAATTAAAATATTTTAAGTTATAATAGCACAAAATACTGAAATTAAAACTTTGTTTACAAGATTTTTAACTAAGTAGATTACGAGTACGACCATATTTCTGTTAGGAATCATATTTCGGGTTTATTTGTTGTTTATGCTACCTACCTATACGAACCAAGCATTGCGATTCCCGACGAATGGCCTTGCAAGTTGCATGCGTTGGTCATTACAGAACTCACATAGTGGATAATATGGTCGATTCCAGTCAGCATAGTAACTTACCGCTACCTAAGTAACTTACCATTTCACAATGTATTTTTTTACTCTTTATTAACAGCCCTTAGCAACCACGGAAAGTCCGCTGTGACATAGTAAGGAGAAAAGATGCAAAGTAATACAGACACACTCGCGCGCAGCGACAAAGTTTTATTTAGCTTGCGTGCGCGATTTATCTGATTAATAATAACTACGTAGGCTATTAAATCGTCGGAAAGCAGTCAACATCAAAAGAGTGCAACTTCTGTACGTAGTACTATTATTTATTCTGTGATATTACCCTCACGTATTATACATATATATTATTCTTAAATTACATTAAAAACTTTTCAACTATTTTATCTTATAATTAAATATACTAAACACTAAAAAATTATTTCGACGAGTATTTACAAAAAACTATTTACGTAAATAGCGTTAAAAAACTGTAACATTCAATCGCCTAGAACGCTAGCACCGACTGTGTTCTGACCTGATTGTAGGTAATTATTGCACGCAGGTAGCAAGAGTGACAGAGGCCTGATATGAATTGAACTGTACTTGGGGTATAAAGTTGGAAGAATAAATAAAAGTGAATTCCGATTATCCACCTCGATCGGGGTGAATAGATATAAACGCGTTTCCGAGTATCCACCCTAGGGTGGATTAAACGGAATAACCCATTGAAAGTTGAGATAAAATTTGAATTTTGTTTACCTATACGGAAAATCTCTGCATAAATACATATTAGTAATTTTGCAGTAGGTTTAGCAAATAGAAGAAACCATAAATCTAGTTTTATATCTGATTCATTTCAAAACTCTCGATGAAAGTGTTCCATATTAGGACACAAGAACAGATTAAATAGTATAATAACTTTTAAATAATAAAATTACTTCGAAAAATCGATGGTGAAGTTTACTTCGTCCATATGCGACATCTGCGAGTATCAAATTTCTCTGTAGAGAAGTATCAATGTGACTGGCGTATTTGAAATATTTGTCAAATATAACAATCATTGTAGAATAATTTGGTAAAAACAGATTTTTAAATGATTAAGTTTAAAGATTTTAACATTCATTATTATCACTACATCCCATCACAAGTCCACTGCTGAGTGTAGGCCTTATTACATTGCATTTCGGAAAAATATAGAAACAAAAGTAATATCTAATATTGTATAGCAAAATGAAATGATTTTTGTACTACTTAGGGTGGAAGACGCTGACGGCTGTAACACAGTTTATACTAGTATGGCCGTCAACGCTAACTTATTTGAAATGTTTTTTTTTTGTAATTTAAAATAGATATAATACATAAGTGTAATTTTTCAAACTGATAGTCTAATAAATTATTATTATTATTATCTATAAAGAGCAAGGACAAAAACATACGTCATATGTGTACCCTAATGTATTACCTGTAGTAAATGTAGATGCAGAGTGTGTAAGCTTTGCAACTTCCATTCGGTGTTCCAACTGTGCATATTCCCTTAGTTTCTCTTTGTCAATTCTAGTAGGCACTTCCTTAATTGTCCAAGTCTGTAGATCAATAATCTTCTCAACAATATTAAAAACCATTTCTGGAATAATCTGTAGTACTTTTTGAATATATCTAATCAATTCATTACTGTAGTACTGTGAAACCGAAACCAAATCATCACTTTGCGCTTGATTTATTCGGAGTAATGGAATTTCCATTGCACTAGCAATTTTGAGAAAAAGTGCTCTTAATCTACTTGTAATAGCTGGATTCTCTTTAATGCTATTCTGCATATATTTAGTGTATAAGTCTATTGTACACCATGCATAACTAAAATCTGCTACTGTCTCTAAAGTGACAAGTGAATCTTCTTTTAAAGACGCAATGCGTAATAGATTTCTCAATGCTTCTTTTCCCTCGGAAAGAAATTGCAAGATCGTGGAAGTACTCTTAATTCCATGAAACTCCTCCACTTCATCTAAAGCTTGTATAAGTTGAGTAACTTTTTTTATAGATTTGCTCGTAATGGGCTCACTCAATGAAGATACTTGTTTGGCAATATTGTCAAACCAAAGCTTCAATTGTTCGTTTTCAGTTACTTTGGCAAACGGTTTCGATCCTGAGAATAATTCGGATAGACTGTTTACAGCTTCTAAAGCGAGATTTTTGTTAGCTTCCCAACTAGAATTTTTACTTTCTAGTAATTTTTGTAAAAATTCTCTAATTTTTAGTTCTAATTCAGCAGTACATGTTAACAGCTCTAGAACATTTATCGGGTCATAATTAGATTCCTTCAATACCAATTCTCTTAGCTGTTTACTTTTTTTGTTATTATCGAAAAATATTACATCACTGTTATGTAATAATAGCCATCGCAACACATGATTAGAATTTATTATTATATTTAAAATTTTACTTATATTATCAAGTACAAAGTCATCTGTCAATGTTCCTTCCTTTAGCAACTGTCGAGTCTTATTAATCAGAACTGCTACTGAATCTCCTCTTTTTCCAAAGATCTCCTTTACCATTTTAGTATTACATGTGTTATGTAATGAGTTTTTAGCTGCTTTAAAGTTTTCCCAAAAATCAACAAGATTCAATGTAACACCCATATATATAGGAACAATCCAATTGCATGGGAAAAATTTGTCTACAATTTCTCGCATTTTAGATGTATCATTATGTAAAAAATGTGGTGTGAAAAACAAGCAGACGACTAGCATGCTTGCTTGGGTGGCAAGTGCTGAAGCTTGATGTTCAGGTATTGTGTACACAGCCAGTTGGTTATAAATGTCTTCAGATCTAAGTTTACCCACCACTTTATCCACAAAATCTGGGTGAATAGGCACACGGCTGAAAAAGCAACTTATTTCATTTCAGAAAACACATTTTAAAAAATCTATGAATTAAAATTCTCTCACAGTAACGGAGCTCAGTCGAGATGATTTTCGCGTAATGATTTATTATGACAAAAAAGGTCTAAAGCCATAAGAATGTTAACAACATCTGTGTATTGTGACGAGTATGGGCAAATCTTAAAAAGTATAAAAAATACTTGGAGCATCCATGAAAAGACCTATATGCAGAGGAGTAATAAATATTTATTTTTCTATCCTTCATCTTTACAACTATAATTATAAATTATAAGTACTGTTTTGTTTGATAATGACAATAGGTACAATATTATGCGATAAGTATCATCAATTAAACAATATATTATAAAAATACCTGAAAAATTCAACAGGGTAGTCCACAGGCTTCCTGGCATGTTGTTGATCATAGCCTGTGTCTCGTAACAATTTACAAACGTCATCTACATTAGATTGTGATTGACTTGTGCTATACCGATAAAAAGCAACTAATAATCTTTCTCTTACTGGTCCCGGAATGTATAAATCACATAGTAATAGCATAGATCCATACAAGTATAAAGATTCACACTAAAATCAAAAGCTCTGTTTAATAAATATCACTAAAACTAAACCATAAAATATAAACATAACGTAGAAAAATATTACATTGAAAGTGCATATTAATGCATTCAGGCAGTTTTAGTTTTTTTCATGCCTGTTTATCACATTTGGGTAATGGGTAAGAAATGAAAATATAGTAAGAAAATACGGGTGTATATGGGCTAGTTCTGCAACCACTTGCAATGAACAGGGCTCACGACGTCCTTCAGGTGGGGTTGGCACATGTAGAAAAAGACATTGATATTTTCTACTATTCCCCCATACAAAATTTACAAGTTTTAAATTTTTTTTCACGCATGATCAATGGGGATGAATAATCTTAAAATATTGTTTTCTATACTTCATTTCTCGGTAGATTCGGGTGGCCCTTTTCTATTTCTTTGTCGGTAAGTAGTGGTAGCGTTACATGCTTTCTTAGAAAATACCTATTAATACTCTCTGTCAATAAGTTATTTAAGCATTCGTCAATATTGTATTAAATATTCTTAAATAATGAATTAAATTTAATTAAGTAAACAATTATATGTATTAACAACACTTTTGTTAAATGTTGAATATTGATAGATCCTTGGGTAACCATGGATAGATCATTGGGTGCATGGTCATCAACTGTTTTTCACAAAAGTTATGATTTTTTAAATTTATTTTCAAAATCAATGTTCATAGTGCTTCCACCCTTAGTATTCCTCAAATATTTAATAATTTAATGATAATATACATAATGACTTAATTTATTTTGTATGCTATGTTACACGTATTTACGCTACGTACTAGTTAAAAATGTTAAAGATTGGGCACTACCTACATAGTTTCTTTAGTTAATATTATTTTTAATTTTTCAAATTTCTACGACATAACAAATTAGGTAACATTATTAGGGAAAATTTAATTAATTTATTTATTATTAAATCAATATTAAAGCACGTTATTTGTTCCAAATATCCAAAATGGCATAACTTGATTCCATGATTTCTTAACCTCATAATGAGCTTGTAAACTCTTCTTAGCTGAAAATGAGCCTTTCCCATAGTATCTCACCAGGGGTCGTATCATCATCTTTGATACTGCTTCCTTCTATACTTCATAATTTCAAGCAGAGAATTTATGAGTGCCGATAATCAATATTTAAAGCAATAATCGGTCTCACTAAGAACACTGCTACCCTACATATTATAACTGTAAACTTAGTCAGGTCATAAGTTCTGTCAAAAACTTTTTATAAAATTAATGATACACTTTTTGACAGTTATTTAGAAATTATATATGAAATGAAAGGTAATTTAATTTAGAATACAATTTTATTAACATTATTCAAAATCCTCCCCTCCCCTATTTTGAATACATGCCCTTCATTGACGCGGCCAATCATCAATCACAGCATGCACCACACTCATATCTATTTCTGCCGCTGCTTTATCCAAAGATGCTCGGAAAGATTCCCAATTATGATGAGGTTTAGCGCAGACTTTCGTTCAAAAAAAGTCCGGTCTTCTTACGATAAGCTCGTAGTCCTAGGTCTTCATTGATCACTCTTTTGACCGTGGTTCTGCTTAGGCCCATCTGAAGAGCTAAGATTTTTTGTTTAAGAACAGGATTTTGTTGGATTCGCGCCTTCACTGCTTTGAAGATCGCGGGTGTCCTAACTTTACGAGGTAGGCCAGTCCTCTTACGACCTTCGAAACTGGAATCTTCAGTGAATCGTTTGATAGTGCGGTAGGGTTATTTTCAATTTTTGTAGAATATTGAAAATCTCTTTTGGCGCGTAACCACAGCGGTGCAACGCGATAACTGCTACTGTGTCTGTCTATGTCTTTATTATTTTCGGCAAGCGCAACCGTAATAATTTTAAATTTGGTGTAGTAGTATTAAAATTTTTTAAATAACAAGTTTTTGACAGAACTTATCACCCCGACTAAGTACTTACTGAATGGGAAAATAATTAAAATAATTTAAACATACTAGCAGTTGTTTTCCTTCAACATCTTTCATAACAGAATCAATTGTTTGTTGAATGAATGATCCATCATGTAACTGCTCTACAAAAGTGTTTAAGTCAACTATATACTGATAAATGTTTTCAAACAATAAATAGAATCTGGTTATCAATTCCAAATATTTTTCTTTCAAATCATCATCCAAATCTTGAAGTTTCTGAAAAACAATTCGAAATGTTATTTTATAGGTACATAAAATATGTTGATGACGGTATTCATGACTTTTACCGCCACCAGGGCGGCGCCACTTAAAAATGAGGTCTAATATTTGACGGATTTCATAGCGGGGAAGTTACTTTGTTCGAAAAATGTAAAGGTTAATGTTTCTTTCTGTACAATTTCTTATATTTTATATTAATTAGATTAAAAATAAGTAAACCAAACCACAGATATTCATAAAAGTAGAAAAATAAAAAACAGTTAAAAATGTGCAAAAAGTTAAAGAGCATTTCACTGGGGCATTGTTTTGTATATTAATATAATACTCTAGGAACTGAAAAACTTTTATTTAAAACTTACTTCTCAATTAAATGACATTGTGTAACAAAAAACTTTACCTCAGTGTCAACTAGCGACATCTGGTGAGTGGAAAATTATTAGCCATCATTGAATAAAGGTTAACTTATGTTAAAAAGCAGCCTGTATACATCCCACTGCTGGTCAGAGGTCTACCCTCATTTCTGGGAGGGTTTTAGGGCAAGAAAGTGTCCGCCGCGTTGCCCCAATGCGTGTTGGCGAACTTCACATGTCTTTATTTCTTTTTTGTAATTTCTCAGACAAGCAGTTTTCCTCACGATGTTTTCCTTCACCGCTTAGCACGTGGTAAATCAGCACTTAAACCAACCAGGTTCCGATGCCGATGGGCATCCAACCCTGGTTGCTCGCATATATAGGCTGCACTAAAAGTATCGGGAATGGGATATTTCCACTGTTCCTGTCATATTAAAATCTTTTTAATTGAAAAGTCCTTGGTTTTAAAAATCGAATACCATTTATTTATTTAAAAAAAGATTCTGGGTCTTGCCACAAGGTTTTGTCAAACTTGTTAAGTCGTTGAGAAAATGGAATTGACTCGAGAAAATTCAAGAGCGATGATTTATTATGACTTTCGAAGTGGTTTAACACAAAAACAGTGTGTTGACCAGATGATTTCTGCATTTGGTGATGAAGCCCCATCCAAAACCACAATTTATCGCTGGTTTGCTGAATTTCAACGTGGACGTGTCAAGCTCAGTGATGATCCGCGTCAAGGTCGTCCAAAAACTGCAGTCACCCAAGAAAACGTTGATGCTGTGCGGTAAGCTGATTGAGGGAGATCGACATGTGACATACCGCGAAATTCAGGCAACTTTAGACATTGGCATGAGTCAAATACAAATAATCTTGCATGAACAATTAGGTGTAAAAAAGATGTTTTCCCGATGGATACCCCATTCGCTCTGTGAAGAGCAAAAAGCGGCTCGCGTTACTTGGTGCGTCAGAACTCTCGAAAGATTCCACGCAGGATCCTCAAATGCTGTATACAACATCGTATCAGGTGACGAATCCTGTGTATACGCGTACGAATCCGAAACAAAAAACCAGTCACGAGTTTGGGTGTTCGAAAATGAGTTAAAGCCAACAAAATTGTTCGTTCACGTAGTGTTGCAAAAAAAAAATGGTGGCCACGTTTGTCTCCAAAACCGGCCATGTTACGACTATTCCTCTTGAGGGACAAAGAACGGTTAATGCAGAATGGTATGCTAGCATTTGTTTGTCACAAGTCGTTTCTGAACTCCGTAAAGAGAACTGCAACCGCCGCATCATCCGACCCCAACTTCCGAATGGAATGGTTGCTTCAATGATTGGTTCCATCGTATGGAAAAATGTGTCAAATTTCGCGGAGAATACTTTGAAAAGCAATAAATACATTTTTAAATAGTAATGTTGTGTCACTTCCTTGATTCCCGAAATTTTCAGTGCCGCCCTCGTACTGTGAAATTTACAGTGAGTGCTAAACATCTGAGCTACCACGGCATCAACTTATGTTAAGTTAGCTTAATTTATATGGCTTATAAAGACTGATAAATATTAAAGAAGAAAGATTCTTAAGTGTCAACCTCATAAAAGCCAGCAAGTTTAATGGAACTCCTGATTATACGAAGCAAAGACCTAATGAGACTATTATAAAGACGTAGCTCTGTGACAATGTTTATGAAATGATTATGTTCATCAGTGGCCTCATGATGGGTTGGAATGAGAAGCGAAAACCAATAATGCTATGTCTTAGTCAAAACTTTAAATAAGAGGTCAACTGATCACGTGTTATCATCTCTTAACATACATATAAACAAAAAAGATTCAACAACCAATATAGCATGCATTCAGTATAGCTTTGAGGATCCAAAATAATTCTGTCTCTATTACAGATACACCAAAATCCTGATTTTTAATCCTAAATATTAATTTAGCATTTATTACAAATCCAGATAATTCGATTGTCTAAAAAAATTGTTAATAACTGTAAAATATCAAGCTCTAATGTACTTTACTCATTGTTTATACATAAACTCTTTTCATCAATCATCCTAAGAAGAATAGCACCAGGTATTGACAAGAATCAGCCAATAGAACAAGCGGGCTTCTGGCCACACTACTCAACAATAGACCACATTCACACAATGGAACAAATAATAGAGAAATATAAAAAATTCAAAAAACCACTCTAGATAGCTTTTGTGGACTAGCATTCAACAGCATAGTACACCCAAGTATATGGACTGCTCCAAGAAATAATGATGTAAACAAAAAAAATATGTAAATATCATAAAAACAACTACTCTAAAATGTAAGTAGAGTAAAACTGGAAAGACAAGGGGCAGAGTTCAGAATTGGTAGAGGGGTGCGGCAGGGAGACCCGTTGTCTCCAAAGCTATTCATAGCTGTACTTGAACACATTTCCAAAAACATTAATTGGGAAAATAAAGGCATATGGATACTCAATAATAAATTATCACACCTAAGGTTTGCAGATGACATTGTGCTTTTTAGTGAATCCGCGACAGATTTAGAAGCAATACAAAGATTAAACTTTGAAAGCAAAAAAATTGGTCTACACATGAACGCACCCAAAACTAAAATAATGTCAAACAGTCAAAAGAAAACAAAGTAGAGCAAAAACCGATAGAATATACAAATGAATATGTGTACCTAGGTAAATTGGTGTCCTTTGATGCAAACAGCAACGAAAACGAAATAGACAAACGAATAAGTACAACATGGAAGATACTGGGCCCAAAAAGAAATTCTAAAAGGGAACTATAGTCTTAATATAAAAGACTATAATGGATTCTTGCAGTCTCCCAAGCTTAACTTACGCTAGCCTGACCTGGTCCTTCACTGAAAAAGTAAAAAAACAAAATTTCCTCTTGTCAACGTGCAATGGAACATAGTATACTGAAAATGAGAAAAATAGAAAAAACGAGAAACGCAGACATCCACATGAAAACAAACATTATTTTGAAACAGAAATGGAACTGGGCAGGGCACTTGTCGAGATACAAAGATAAGAGATGGACTTATCAAACAACTAAATGGCAGGGCCCAAATGGCAAAAGAAACGTGGGAAGACAGAAGAAAAGATGGTCCAATGACATAATAAACAGCAGGAAAAAGTTGGATGCATGCGGCAAAAGACAGGGAAAGATGAAAAAGCATGAAGGAGGCTTTTACCCATAACAAAAAAATGGAAAGGAAATTATTATAATTATACATAACATATTTGAAAGAATTGTAATAAAATTAAAATAAAGTTGTAATAATAATAATAAAACTCAGTTTTTTCTAATTTTCATACTTTTATTAATTTGTTTTTTTATTGTTTAAAACAATTAATGTAAATGTTCAAGAAGTGTTAATGTACATTTTGATAAAAAAACGGCATTTATATGTAGTTTCTTTAATTTTTAAGAGTACAAGTAATCAAAAAGTAGCTAGATCTTAATCACATCCTTATCAAGTCTTTAAATCAGCCATCTATAAACTAATTTGTGAATTAAATTAAGGATATGTAGTGTTTTCAGTGACAATATTGATGATGAGGTTGAAGGAGGCCTTTGCCGATTAGCAATCAGCAGAAGACAATCTAGATTTTATATGACTTAGATATTAAGAAATTGTATTACGTACTGTTGAATAAATGGCTTTATTATTATTGGGGTATCTATAAAGTTTTCTCATCTGGTTGGGCAGTATAAATATATAATTGTAAATGAAAATGGTAAACATACATCAATATCAATAAAATAAAATAAATACATAAAAAATACATAAATATATAAAAACCCAACCAGATGGAAGCCCTCGGCAGGGGAGACCAGATGGCCGAGGGTTAGGGGGAAAGGGAAAGAAACCGGCGGACGATATCGAGGAGCACCGCCTTCTGCATTTGAGCCTGGAGCGGTCCGTCACGGAGTCCCAGTCGCCTCAGATGACCCGAGAGGCTGACTGGGATTAACCCGTTCGCAGAAACGACCACAGGAATAATTTCGGTCGGCAGACCACCCCACATGTCGGTCACCTCGTGAGCCAGGTCCAGATATTTTGTCAGCTTATCTGTTTCGGCTTTCACGAGGTTCTCGTCATAAGGAATGGTAATGTCGACCAAAAATATCCTTGACTGTGCCCGGTCCATCAGGACAATATCAGGCTTATTCGCAAGAATAGTCGTGTCTGTGATGATGGCCCGGCCCCAGTAGAGCCTGGCGCGGTCATTTTCGAACACGGATTCCGGCAAGTACTTATAATACGGCAGTTTCCGATCCACGAGACCATATTTCAGAGCGAGCTCCTGTAGAATAAGAGAAAATATAGAAAAAAAGAAAAGAAATGTGTAGAATCCTGGCTACTAGATTGTGTCTATGCAAATACTCAGAGTTAGAAAGCACCGAACAACCGGAGATGACATGCCTAAGTAACTCACCGGGATGGCGACAAGCTCGACAGATGTCGACGGCGCCATCCTTTAGGATGTATCTCCGATAATTGTTGGTCTTAATAACCTGATCCTATATCGCACAGACAAAACCCTCGGTTTCCCCAAAGAGGTCACCGAAACGTAGCCAGTGGAGGGAGGCGACTGTGTCTACGAAAGGCTCATGTAGAGCCTTGTAGAACCTCCCGTGGAGCTCCTTCTCCTTCGATACGGTCTCCCGGTCGGAAATGCACTGTACTGCTGGGTCTTGCATTGCTCGTTGGCTAAGTATAGAGGAGTAAGCCCTTTATCACACGAAATGACGGCCCTATAGAATGGACCAACCGATCTCACCAGAAAGTAATTACGGAGGCTGCACACTTCACGATTATGCATGGTGAGAGCGCTCAAAAAGCCGCGCCTCATTACTGACGGTCTCGGGTGATGCATCCTGTGAGACGTCATAACAGTGCGGACTTTTCTATCCAGAGCGTTCAGTTCGGTCTGAGATCACCTGAGTATACCGAAGGTATATATGAGGACAGGCATGACCCAACCGTTATATGCGTGTGTCTTATTCACACCCGACAAAAGACTGTTGAGCACTTTTGTCAAGAGTGCATAAAACACATCGCAAACTGACTGTTTCATGTCCGCCTCATCGATACCTATGTTCTGTGACATACCCAGGTATCGGTATGTTTCAGCCTCGGATAGGGTCTTTATGTTGATGGGCATAGATAAGTCTATGCCCTCAGAGTTAGCAACCCTACCCTTTCGACATGGAGGACCGCACACTTATCCGTCCCCAGCTCCATTCTAATGGAATTGCTAAAATCACAAGTGATGTTTAGCAATTCCATAAGATGGGAGCGACTGGAGGCGAATAACTTGAGAGCATCCATATAGAAAAGGTGGGTCACTTTTGTACCTCCTTTCCGAAGCTGAAATCCCCTCCCGGAACCGTCCAGTAAGGTACTGAGAAGGTTCAGAGAGAGGCAGAACCAGATTGGACTCAGACAATCGCCCTGAAAGATCGCCCTTCTTATCCTTATTTAGTTCTCCGCAGCCGTCATCCACTCGCCTAGATGACAAAGGATCGTACTCCACTGCCCCATACACTGCCCGAGGAAGTCTCTAACTGTACAGTTAACCTTGTACAGCTCGAGGACCCTCTTCAGCCATGTATGAGGCACCGAGTCGAATGCCTTTTTGTAGAGTATCCAGGCGGCGGAGAGGTTCCGACGGTTGCGTTTAACCACCTTGCCAATGACCGCGTCAATGAGGAGTGGTTCTTTGGTTCCACGACCACCACCCCGACATCCATTTTGAGCGCGCGACATCACCTGATTTGAGTTCAGGTGACGAGTGATTCTCGCGCTCAAAATGGATGTTATTGTCTTATATATCGTGGGTAAACACGTGTTGGGGCGGTATTTGCTCGGGTCTGTGGTATCCCGGTCTTTAGGAACCAAATGAGTGATCTCAGTAGTGAAGTAGAGACTCGGGAGCGACTTTTAGTCGAGAGCCTCTTGAAATGGTCGGGCGAGCACAGCGTGACACACCACGACCCCTTCAGCCAGTAGTGATGCAGCCCGTCGAGCCCCAGACTTTTCCAGTTCGGGGCCCTTCGGATCGCCTCGTCCGGCGTTATAATGACGGGGTCCATGGGCGTAACATTCGCACACTGACTCACCACAACTTCCGTCCAAGGGCCCTCGCTGTGGTTTACGGGCTCAGACCAGACCACAGGCCGCGCCAGAATGCGACAGTGTCGGCCTGATTCGGTGCTTGGCCCGTTCCACGTACCATTGGTCGCTCCAATGATTTATAGAGCCTCTTCTGATCACTCTGAAAGAGACGATTCTGGTTGAACCGTGTCGACCTCTCAGTATATCGCCGAATCCGCTTTCCCCAAGCAGCGATTCTCTGCTTCAGGTCGTCTATGCGCTCCGTCAGTTTTTGCTTAATATCCGGCTGGGACAAACTTATATTTGTCTCAGCAAACGCTATCCTGACCGTGCGCACAATTCTCGGTCTATTATTACCCGACCTGAAGCTTGTCAGTCTGCCAATTAGGGCTCTTGCCTTTGCGATACGGTCCTCAATTCTTTTTCTCCAGGCTGGGATGGCGCTACTTTGTCTAGTAGCGCGTCCAGCCGTGGAAAGTTTGGCGCCAATAATACGGCAAACTGCCAGTGCGGCGCCAAAAATAATTGAGTCCGTATCGCAAAGGTCCCGGCTGGCTTCCAAATAGGTCACCAGCATTGGGTTGAGCAGCGTCCGAGCCCGATACGCCAACATTCCAGTTTCTTCCCCTTTCGCCCTAAAGTACGCTCGCAATTCGTTTGTGTTCATTATTTTCGTCCAACGCATGCGACGTGCTCCACCAGCGGCGGATGCCGCTTGCTCAGTCCGAGAAGACTTGGTTGACATCAAGCCCTCTGGTGGGGATGATGGATGCGGGCGGCTGCTAGGTGGTCTTACAGCCCCCCGCGCTTGGCTGGCGGCCCGCATGCTGTCGCGTCCAGCGCCAGCTCCAGACGCGCCATGGGGACCTCCAGGCAGCGGCCCTTTGCACACTCTTCTTTTTTCCATTACCCATTAAATGGGCGTCAATTAGCGGGAGACGCCCAGGCCCGGCACCGTTTCATGGTGCGGCCGTAAGCACAAACGAGCCTTTGCACCCTCAGTTCTGCCGAATCACGGCACTCAAACCTCTTGGCAAGACGCTGACTGACTGCACTGACTTAGCAGTTTTGTCACTTAACTGTTACGTCAGTGGGCAATGGGGTCGTCAATTCCCTACGCCTGTTTATTATTATTATTATTATAATATTGATGATATATATTTTTACTCTATTTACCATAAACTTCATAGTTATAATAGTATCTATTATTAGTCTAAAAGCTCTTTTTGACTTAACAGCTGACAAGAGTACAACAAGCAAATTTTTTAAAACATCACACGAAGTTCTTTAAACTCTGCGTCTGATCTTAGGTTTTATTAAATATATAGGATATCCTTTAGTTTGCAAAAAGTCTGAATTGTACTCTAAAATCGTTAAGATAAAATAATTTCTTTATTGATGATCATTTCCATATACAGTGTTCTTCCACATTATGATACCAAATATTATATAATATATATTGCAATAATATTTATTACAAAAATTTTACAGGATCAAAAATTAAATAAACAATTTATCTTTTACTATAGCCACAATTAACCAACCCATCACGGGTTGGCTATAGACATCCGGTACTTGATTTTAATTATGTTTTCAGTTTAGAAGGCTTGTCACGGTTTAGCTTGAAACTTTTACACTGTTTTTGGATGTCGGAAATGCGTTTTTAATTAACTATGATAAAATAATTTTCACTAAAAATGGTATAAAATGAAACACAAATATGTCAATTACGTCCAGTATTATGAAGTAGATGTCAGGTACTTGATTTTAATTATGTTTTCAGTTTAGGGTTTTAGGGTTAAACCTTTGTTAAACCTTAAACCTTTTACATTGCTTTTGGAATCCGGAAATGCATTTTGACTTTTGAATTATTTATGATAAAAATAAACTTCACAATAAATTGTATATAACACAACGGAATTTTTTTATAGCATAAGAGTAACAAACGTGCACACAGTCCACCTGATAGTAAGTGGTTGCTGTGACCTATAGACATCTACATTTATCTTCAATAAAGAATCAAAATGCAGATGCGTCGTTACTCGTGAGGGCTAAGATGGAATGCCTCTTTTCCAGTAAAAAGGGTCTCCGATTCTCTACACTCACCATATACGAAACACAGCAGTGTCAAGATGCCATTTTACGCTGATATTCTGTGAGAGCGTGGTCCTTCCCCGGTCGAGCCGACACATTCATACTACAACTATACTACTAATATAGCTGCAGCATGGCTCTACCACGTACGAAATTATCTAAACTCCTTCCGTTTTCTGAAATGATTGTGATGAAACTTACCATGTTAGCATTGATTTTACGTTCTTGATTATCTGACACTTTAAAGAAACTAAAATCCATTATAACATCTTGATATTTTTGTTGCAACTCTTTACTATCTAATCTATAAATGTCAACATAATATATTAATAAAAATATTCAAATTAAAAATAAAACAAGTTAAGAAATACTAACAAATAGGTTGTAGGTATATGATCTTTTAATCTTAGTATTTCTGCCAAAATGGCATTTCCGTGTGACACCAGTTTTAATAAATTTTGTGCACAAAGGTTATCTTCTGCTAGAAACACTCTCATTGTAAAATTAATGTTTATAATGTTATTAAGCGTTAATATTTTTTACAGGCATACCTAATACCTATTACATATTTATACTACAACTTTATAATTTGTGATTTATAGTTTATACTCAAGATCAGGCCCCGAGTCATAACAAATATTGAATTGTCATTTGTCATTGTCAACAATTGTCAACAATGATTGTTGTTTTTATTATTCGCTCAAGAGAGCAGGCAAAGAAAATAAACCATACAGTCTTGTCTTTTTTATTTTGAATATATAGAATTCTTCCATCCCTTAAAAATCCATAAAGGCCGAAGTCAAGTCTTATTTTCTTTAATTCTTCATATTTTCAAAAGTTTTAATCCGTGTAGTTTTTTATCAATCCAATATTTTCAAAAACAGAGATACCATATTTCATATTTCTTTTACAGTATTATGAATAAAATAGCAAAGTGCTAAATATGTCTTATAGTACGGCCGCTGAGTTATTACCGATTTGACAGATTATTTTTAAATTAATCGATATAACCTTGCACGAGCGACACATTTGCCGAATGATTTAGAAAACCTCTTTAATATAAAACTTTATGTCAACATGTCAGAATCAAGTAATTTTCCAATAAACTCTGTTTCAAAACTTAAAATAGTTTGTAAATAATATGAAAACATTTATTTTTTGTTCTTTGGCGCGCTTGTACAAAGTTACATCGTGCGTCTAGTTTTCATAGTGATGTGCTTGATAGTATTCGGTCCGAATTCATTGGAATAGATATGATATTTATTTTATTTGGATATTTTTATTTTACTTATTCCTTCGAGCAACTAGACTATAATGCTACCATTTTTTTGCGTCTCCTAATTGCACTGTGTTGCCAGTATCTCTATGATTTTTAAGATTTATGTGTGATCCAAAGACAGAAATACTGTTTTCTATGATTTAAAAATAAATACAATTAAAATGATTATGTATAATTTTTAACATTCATAATATATAAAACAACATTTAATAAATAGAATTTTCTCCCTCAATTAAGCAATGTTATAGGTGTATTTTTTTTAAGTAATTGGCGATACTATTCTGGCAACACCCTTACCACCGCTATTTTAATCTGTTTAGTCGTCTTCCGTACTCTCGTGCGCACAAACTACGTTCTCTTGTGTAACCGTTGTTTTTTGACTCGGCTTTCTCCTGTTTATCGTTGCGCTTTATTGGACTAATTTTGTTTGTGTTTGGTAATTTTGTTGAAAATGCCGAAACGAGGAAAAACATTGAATAGTCAATGTCGTGAGCTTGTACTAAAGCTACAGGATTACTTTGAGCGTGAGTCACAAAATGGCGGCCCTTTGATTCCTGTCACTCAAGTGAAAGATCGGGTTTCACAAGCTCTTGGAATTGGTGCAAAAACACTATATAATATAAATAAAGAAAAATCTGGTGCTTCTGGAAGTGAAGATAATGTTTTACGCACTCCTAAGAAAAAACGAAGACAAAAGCCCGTGACAGGTGTTGATGTTTTTGATGCAGATGCAATAAGAAACCACATATATGTTTATTATACTAGGAACGAGTTTCCAACTAGACGTTTGCTTTTGGTTTCTTTAAAAGAAGCTGGCTTGTTTAAAGGCGGTAAAACGGCGTTGTCAAAACTATTGCACGAAATTGGGTTTGAATATAAAAAAACGAATAAAAGGAAAATATTAATGGAAAGATTTGATTTAATAATTAAAAGGAGCGAGTTATTAAGAGAAGCCAGAAAAATCGAGTCTTGGGACAACGTCGTTTTTGCTGACGAAACATGGTTAAATGCGAACCACACTGTGTCACGCTCTTGGACTGACGAAACAAAAGCATCAACCTCAAAAGGTTCCAATTTGAAAAGGATCGCGACTGATAATTTGTCACGCCGGTTCTGCTGGAAGTAATTTCTTTGAAAATGGACTGCTGGCTTTCGCGTCAAAAAGTACTTCCGATTACCACGAGGAGATGGATACAGACACTTTTACGAATTGGTTCGAAAATCAATTATTACCCAGCCTGCCAGAGCCTTCTATCATAATAATGGACAACGCTTCATATCACTCGAAACAAGTGAATAAAGCGCCTACTCAGGCCGACAAGAAAGCTGATCTCGTAGCATGGCTACACCAAAATGGAATTGAAACTACTGCCGAAATGCTAAAGTCTGACTTAGTAAAGTTGGTACGCGAAAATAAAACATCAAGAGTCCGTTATGAAGTAGATGAGATAGCTCTAGCACATGGACATCGGGTACTTCGAATTCCGCCTTATCACTGCCAGTACAATGCCATTGAGCTAATATGGGCACAAATTAAAGGTATTGTTTTTTATCGCATAAGTTATGAATATGAATAATTTGTACTATTATAACATCCAATATTCAGCATATAAGTAAAAAGATACATAACTAAGAAATAAATATCTCATGTCCCTTACATGTAGGTAATTGTGTAACATTTCGTTTATTTAATGTAATAAATTAACGTTATTTAATGTTTACATTACAGGTTACGCAGCTCGTAATAATACGACTCCGCCATTCAGTACTAATAAAATGATGGGTCTATTAAAAGATGCTTGCAGCAAAATAACGAAAGAAGATTGGGTCAAGGTCGTCGAAAAGACTCGAAAACTAATAACAGAAGATTATGAACGCGATATAAGAGTGGACACCATTATAGAGAATGAAATTGTCATACAAGTGACTGATAGCGATGACAGCTCTGGCGAATCTGGTTCAGAGTCTGAATAATTGTTTTAATAAATGATAGGTAGTCATTTATTAAAACATCTTGTACCTACTCTATTCATTAAAATGTGTAACAGTGTTTACAAATTTGTTTTATTTTGATATGTCCTCGACCAATTATCTACGCCCATCAAGGATACTCCACCTAATAAAGAACCTGTGTCTTTAACTATTATTGTTTTGATTTTATTTAATGACACACTACACACTATACTAGAATATTTAAAAACAAACTGTTCCCATATGATATTAGGGTTACTGGTTCAGTCACTTCACTAGTATTGTCAATTCGTCATGTGTCAAATCGGTAATAACTCAGCGGTCGGGCTATAGTATTCCTAAGAACATCTTGCAGGGCACGCGGAACGCTTTCTGAGTTTTTATAAACTTGTATAAGTTTTTCAATGAGTAGCAATCTTTCTATGGCGTACGCTGGGCAGTTAAATATTATATGTTCTGCAGTCTGATCTGCTTCTGTATCGCAGAAATTGCATGTTGCAGATGTTAATTAACAATGATTTATATAATATTGTATTTTAATGGCAACACTGCGTCGGTTGTCAAAACTGTGTCTGTTATGAACATAGATATAAGCTTTGAGCATAGAAAATAGAGGACCTGCCCAGAGCGTCTATATGTTTTATTGGTTATACAAATATGGTTATATTCGACATTGAACTGTCAATATGCTGCCTATCTCTTTTTCACTCAGGGAAGTGTAAGTCTAAGTGTCATTCATAAATGAAACAGATAATAAAAATTGTTTCGTATTCTGGTAAAGATTTTTAAGATGACGTCATTTAACTCCGCCTTGCGGCCGATTCCGCCATTTATTGTTTCAGATTTGCTGTTATAAAAAGTCCTTTGATATTTCTTAATTTGAAAATTTTGTGAATTTTTAAACAGTTTATAGTGAATTTTCAAATTCATTATAAAGTACGAAGATGACTAAGTGTTGTGTAAGAGTCTGTGCCTCAAAATATAGTCAAAAATTACGCAAACTATCATTTCATATGTGAGTGATTTAGTTTTTGCTGTAAATATAATGTAAAAACGTTTATATCTTTTGCGACAGTAAGTAGATGGATGTAATTATTTACCCTAAACATTTAACTCATATTATTTAATTACTTCTTATCATTCTTTACGTATTTATAAAATTTTGTTGTTCGTAAATAGTGATGTTACATTGCTAACAATAAATTCTTTCAAGAACATACTTTATTAAGGTTTTTCATGATTTATTCTGTCGTATTATGTGAAAAAATTTTGCGTTATGCAATGCATTATTTCGGTGTCATGGGTCTGAGCAGTCAGCATAAATGATTAACTAAATTATACGGAAACGATAGAACACGGCGTCCGTAATACTCGACGATCTCCGCATCTGAAGCTCTACACTTTTTTTACACCGGGTTAATCATATTGATCTTCCTGTTGTAATATATTTTCTTTTCCTTATAATGGTTCGGAATAGTAGTGACGGTACAGTTGACATGCGGAAAATAAAATTTCATTTATTTTTTGTTTTCATATACTAGCAATGTAATTATGTGTATGATTTGCAACATTGTTTTCTTGGCTAGTTTTGAGTTAGGCATCTTGAGTCGTTTAAAAAAGGTAATATAGTTTATTTTACAAGGTAAACACCTGGGCACGGCGCTATCTGAGATTATTATGGACTATTTACCTCCGAGTACGTGGTAAATCAGCACTTGAAATAGCAATCAATAATTTTATATAATAACCTTCATGTTAGGTAGGACTTACGGTACCAATATAATAAAAGTGTAGCAAAGCAACAAATATTACATAAAGTACAATCTAGCGCCTGTAAGTAATCTCTTTCTGTAGGCAAACATGCAAATACCTCTGAGACTATGGACATTATTACTTCACTTTATTATATATTGTATATATTAGCCCATCAGTGCCTTCAAGTAATGCGATATACATAAAAAATAAATGTAAAGCATATTTTTATCTATAATTTACCTTAAGCCACCTTTTATAACAACCATGGTGTTGTTTAATTTGTAATATTATTTGCAGCTTCATTGATCTAAATCATTATTTTCTGTTCTATCATTTTTAGAAAGTCGTTTAATAACGTAATATAAGTAAAAATTATATATAATAAGTACTTTATTACGTTATTAAACTGCTTTCTATTGCTAACAAAAATTTTAATTTATTTATTTTCCTACTCCATCCATCCATCCATTACATTCTAAAAGTTCATTGCCG